CCTACTTCGCACAATGTTCACTTAACACGGTCTGAGAAAAGCCAGTTTGTTTTTAGCCACTCTATGAYAAAAGTATTGATTTTACAACTAGAATGCCATACTTATGTAGCAGCACATCACTGTTTTATTATTTCTTATATTCTGAATTTTCTGTGCTGTCAGAATTTATGAAGAGCTTCAGGTTGGAAAGTATCATAAATTGCCTCAATGCAAGGACAAATTCATCACTGACTTTAAACATAAATTATTCATCAGGTCTAGTACACACCACAGGCCATATCCAGTTTTACTGTCCTTAACATTTATCTTCTCCTTTTTGTGGAGTAGGGGCAGGGGCTTCAACATAATTATATACAGTTTTTGCATTTAAAATATTTGTTTGGGATTTGTTTGAGAAACGAGTGTAGAACAAAGAGTTGCCATATTCTGATCAGCACAATACTAAATATGTGTAAATAAATAAGTATAAGTATTTTATTCTCTACTACAAAACTAAAAGGACTTCCTCCACCTAAAAACTGCATTAAAAACTAGTTYACGTGATTAAAATGTTCTGTCTTTCCAGTAACAGGAAGCAAAGACAGAGAGYCAAATGCTTTCATTTTAATGCTCCCCAAGGATTTGACATGCAGAAACAACACCAACCACTTCTCCCATAGCTCATTCTCCATGTTCCCGCCTCCCTCAGTTCCCCTGTGCATCTTCTTCCCTGTTTACTCGACCACTGCTCCTTAGCAACAGAACAACCTTCACCAAGTGTCGGCTGAGAGCTTCGCGTACCCTGCTGTGCTCTAACCGCAAACAATAACAGGCTGTTGCTGTGACAATGGGTTTAAATGTAACCCTCCTTTGGGCTGAACAGGCACTCCGAGGAGGCCTTCACAGACAAAAGTGTCTTCAATTTGGTTTTCTGGTAATTAAATCCTGTCTTCCTTCACCATGGAACAGAAGGAGTCATTAGTGGTTATCTTCATWGAGAGCTGAAGCCACTTGCTAAACATGTTTGACTTTGTGTGTCAAGTTTATTCCTTTAAATGGCAGACCACTGTCAACAGAGATGTCAGTTTTTGATGCAACATTTAGTCTTATCAGACATCTTGAGTTTTTAGATTATACATTTTCCTACAAGCGAAGGTTACTCAGGGCATTAAGTCTGTCTGCTCACCTGGGTGTCTGTGCTCCTAATCCTTCACCTGCTGGTTGAAAGTTCTCAAGTTGCACTGTCTCATAGAGGCAATTTAGATTCAGTCAAGTGAAAAATGACTTTCGTCTTACCTGTAAAGGCAAAGTGAATGAAGTGGGAAAAAACACTTTTCATGCTATTTCACAAATACAAATTTACTGATATGAGGCATGAGTGGAATAAAGATAAAGACTGCTGGTAAAAAAAACAAAACAGAGTTTGGCTCTTGCTGTTCAGCCTTTTATGAACTGGAACACTGCTTTCACACCAGACGCCTACAAGATGAAATGCTCTACCTGGAAAATAAAGTTATTATTACTGAAATATGTAGTTTAAAAACAGGGAAATAAATGTGTCCTAATCTGACCTATTGTGTCTGGTCTGTCTTGTTGTTTTGTACATCAAAGATGTGGGAAATAAAAGCAGCATCTCATAAWAAACTGTTTATGGATTCCTTAATGAAAGCTCAGAGCCTTCACATACTGTATGTTACAAATTATTTTGAAGGGATTTTCTCAAAATCACAAGTTAAAAGCCTGTTATCTCGAGAAAACCAAGGTAGTTTTATCTCATCTTGAGAAGCAAAGCAAACTTTGAGATAACAAGATATTTTAAAGAAGTGCTTTAATGAGATGATAAGTGGTTTTTGTGTTTCGCCCAGTTTCATCACTCAGTATCACTGTCACAACACTTAGAGATGATCTATGGGTTGATCAGTGATGGATGCACCTTAATGTAACATTTTCTTCTTGATTGAGTCAGCACAACTATCCTGTCTGAAGTGCCACATTTTTTAAATTGAAATAAAATAAGCTTTACTAGCTCAAAACAACTACATATAAACAGCTCATCTTCTTGACAAAAAATGCTTTATTTTAGTGGCATAATGTTATCATGTCCAAACTTTGTTTTGCCAAGTTAGTGAGATAGCCCAAAATGTCAAAATGGTATCCATCCATCCATCCATCCATCCATCCATCCATCCATCCATCCATCCATCCATCCATCCATCCCTTATCCTGCAGTCACTGTGCGATAGATGGAGTACACACTGGACAGGTCACAAGTCCATCACAGAGACACATAGAAACAAATGTCACAAACAACCATTCACTCTCACTCACATCTAGGGACAATTTAGAGTTACCAATTAGCCTAACATTCATGTTTTTGTTTTGTGGGAGGCAATGATTGTACCCAGAGAAACCCCACAAATGCATGGAGAGAACATGCAAATTCTACCCAGAAATAGTTTGAGTGTTTGCATGTTCTCTCCATGCAAACTCTTTCTGGGTCGAGTTTGCATGTTCTCAGTTGTTTCAGTTCATGAAACTGAAAGAGAACATGTTCTTTACTTCGATGTAAGTGAGAACCAGGAAACAAATACAGAATTAGACTTGAATGTTAAATGCAAGAAATAAAGCCATTCAATACCAACAGCCAGAACTAAATACAGGCCGTTAATTCAGTCGTAGTTTTTGGTAAAGAATCATGGATCTCAGCACAATATAAACACAGCTCTTCTGAACCCAGCCCCTCCTTCGGGCAATATGTCAGGTCCAGGGTGGAACTTCCTACAGAGACACTAGGTTTTGTAACAGAAATTCTGATTGCTSGATGAGAACAATAATTAAGTGTTGTAAGTGCCAGGTGTGTATTAAATAATCGTTTTGAGTAAAGTACATTGTGTTTGAGRTGACCGTGACAGAAGCCTCTCAAAGCAGAYTGCACATCAACTAAATCACAAATTAAYCATAAAATGTAGATAATTATGCAAWATAGGTTATCAAAACATATCCTAGTTTTCCTGAGAAAAAACAACATGTGTAGTACATTAAAAATCAGTGTTAAACAAAATCAATTTTATTCAAAACCTATCTAAATTTCTGAACATACCATCTYTTAGTTTCCTTTAGAAAAAGCAGATCTTGATTAATTAGAAGTAGTARTGACACTGGCACACTGAAACWTGTCACACATCACARGATCTAATGCTATCTGTTATTGCTSTCCTTAGACCATATCATATTTTAGCTAAATCTCTGTAAAATCAACTGAAATGTAGTTACTTTTGTGTTAAGCGTTGATTAGCTGTAGTGGACATCATTGAACTGGGTCGGCCTAAATGTTAATTAGTTGTAGATGGACATCCATAGATTACTTTCTGTACTTTTATTGTTATCTCTAATTTAACTTTTAAATAAACATCAAGTCATTCACATTTCCATCTCTTGCTGTGGCAGAAACAATAATCTTCCACACAGATTGAGGTGAAGCTTACAGTAAAATCCTGTGCTGCTGATCACGTCTAATCAGYATGTATCTAATCCTGTGTTCATTTATCATGTTTTAATACCATGYGATTTCCACATATGAAGTTGGGGTATTCCTGTCGGCGTGGGACCACCCCAGATTGTGGAAAATGCTGTTGTAGCAACAACAATGGTGAACACTTGCGGTGATTAAACAGAATAATGCAGCACATGTAAACCAAGCCTGCTGGTCTGRTCGTCTTTGCCAGGCGTAAAATCTGGAAATCCTCCAGCTGGGGCTGAGCTCTAGAGGGAAACCAAAAGAAAGAGAAGACTTGACTGCAGAAGAATTGTGTCATTATTCAATCTACTTGTCACAGTTGATRTTAGGATGTGACAGATGGGTGGACTGAGTGATCACTAATCATTGGCTTCACTGGTTTATCTCCTTTTATCTTATATTATTCCAAATATCTGAATACTTTGCTTTCTCCGTGTACWCTTTATTTACTCTGAACTGCAAAACCATAAATGGATAAACAGATTGACATGGTATTGTGCAACATATTTGTTTACAACTTTTAACTGTTGGAGTTGGTCCTTTTTGTYAGCAAAATATCTGAAACCATCTGATATTGTGCTGCTAGCAAGACAATATTTAATGYTTTGTAAGGCRTTTTAAGGAGATGGGACCATAAAGTTGGTTGTTGAGTGTTTGCTGTGGAYCACCAGTGTTCTTCTGTTGTTAGCATTAAGAGCCAGTGTATTTTTAGCTCAGACCATAAAGATTTCTCTGTCTGTTATGTAAATTAAAGTAGCCAAGAAAATGCCCGCTCTTCGGCTAGTCACGTCTGCTCTGATTAATGCCTTCTTGTRTGCGATGTCGGCGTGTTCGGCACCTTAATGAGTCATATTTTAAGTCTGGTGACATCCTTCAAATTTAAACTAGAACCTCTCTGACCTTCATTGAGTTGTTGACACCACCTTGCTTGTGCTCATTGATTGGTTGTCCTTTTGAGTAATGAGCTTAGTTTGATTTCACATCTTCGAGGTAAAGGTGCATGCACGCTCACTTTTAAGTGTTTGTCGCCAAGGCTGATTCATAAGCCAGAAAAACATTGTTAAAATTTAATTCCTGACCTATGAAATATTACAAACTTCTCTTATTTACTTTTCCAGCGGATTAGACTATTATTTTTTTGGACTCAAGTTGGGAGGAGGAAGAAGTCAGAATGTTTGTTCTTACAGCAACTTTAGCAGCTGTGTTGTTGTTATGTTGGTGTGTGAGGAGGAACGTGCGTGGGACAGGGAGGAAGTTGGGAGTTGTGGGAGAAAGATAACGGAACATCAAACTTACGAACAGGGTGACTGACAGGGGTAAAATTGCTTGGGAAAGGAAATGAAGCAGCACCCAACTTGCCTCCCTGCGCTCTCAGTCTGTGAATGTCCCACAACAGTGAATATATATTTTTATACTTATCTCATTTTCTCTTGGGTTATTATAAGTAGAATGAAAGTCAAGTCATTTTGTTCTTTTTCTTGTGTTTTTGTGTTTGTGTTCACAGCAATGCATCAGGCTCTGGACACACTGAGTGACAGCACAAGCTCCACAACAGCCAATGACCTGGATCTCATCTTCCTCAAAGGCATCATGGAGAGCCCTGTGGTGAGAAACAAGTCATACTTTGTGCTGATAGATCAGTGGTCCCCAAACTACGGCGGCCCGCCTCCCCATTTGGTCCGGCCCCCAGAACAATACCAGAGAGCATTTAGTTTTTTTTTTCATATATGTGTATTTATATTTGATTATAAAGTTGGACTTTTGTAATAAAATGTTCCTTAATTATAAACTATTTTCATTATTAACTATTATTAGTTAGTAACTATTTCATACATACACGCATATAACGTGATATTCTGTTCCACCCTTCTGCGGTATGTGCCCCTATCTGGCAACCCCCAGAAAAAAATCCTAAACCTGCCCCTCTCAAAGAGAGAATGGAATAATGGCAAAAAGATTAGGTAAGAGAAAAATTGATTCAGAATGCAGGACATTTAAGTTGCAGTAGACAAATGATTATTTTTTTGTTCATCTGTCAAGAGGCGGTGGCGGTATTCAAAGAATACAATCTGTGGCGACACTATGAATCCCGTCACAAAGACAAGTATGACAGCTTGCAAGGCTAAATGCGAGCAAACAAACTCTCAAAGCTAAAAGGTGGACTGTTAGCTCAGCAGAATACATACTGTGAAGAACCCAGAGAGGGTTATTTGATTGTGCTTTCTGGAAAACAATAAATTTTTACGTTTAGGCACTCCTGCAATCGTCACACTTTTTCTGTTACAAACTGACTCCGGCCCCCAACCAGAGAAGGGAAAAGTTATGTGGCCCTTACAGGAAAAGTTTGGGGACCCCTGTGATAGATGGATCTTAAAATACATGAAAGTTATTCAGTGTTTGGAATTGACTGTGTCTGTTAGCAAAATATTTAATTGACTTAAAATTAGGTGTGGCGGTAGCTGAGACTGCAACACATATTCTAATTGCTAACAGATTGCAGATAATCTTTGTTTACCAATTTGGTGTAAACTCTGTTAACAAAACGTCTCATGAACAACTAAATGGATTTTAATGAAACTTTTAAATAATAATCATTGGATGTACATTTACAACAAATAACTTTTGGAGTCATCTACTGTAGATTCAGGATGGCCCCCACAGCAAACTAAATTTACAAAGTATAAAAGTGGCTATAATTTGGTCAATTTTACAGATGACATGCTAATATTTAGTGCGGTTGTAGTTAACAGTCATTCACAACAGAAGTAACATGTAACCTTGTAATATTTCATGAGATTGTATAAAATTTTATTTCTGTTAGGCAGCCACAATTCTTGTCATTACTCGACACATGATCTTTGTTTAAATTTGTAAAGGCGTCAGGCGATATTCTTTTTCAAGAAATTCAAGGCCTTTAATTAGACATGGTTTGGATGGACTAATGAATAAGTGAGACAGATTTAAGACTGACACTTCAAGGTTTTACCATTCCCTGAGATGTTTTTTGTTTTGGCTTTGGCATAATTTGGACATGACCTAATTAAATGGGTCGTCCTCCTCRAGCAGACATTGCAGCCTGTCTGGAGAAAATCACTACAGTTGTGGAAAGAAAAGTGCATTCGTCCTGCCAATGTCGTATACCTTCAGATTTATGGCAGTTGTTACTCACTTTTGCTTTAACGTTGATATTTTACGTTTCTGTCACTGTATGCACATCTTGCTAGATGTACACTGTAATAGAACCCCAAATAAATTTCACTCTTTTCACTGAGACTTCAAACTCAAAACATTTCACAGCAATTGTTCCTTTGAATTTTTAATTTCATCAAACAATAATTGTCCCTAAATCATTAAGCCCAATCAAATTTCCAGTTCACTGGCCTTGCTTCATTGTGTTATGATTAGTTAGAAGTGCTTTTTAAAGAGGAGGCTGTAGTCCTATTTTCACTCAGAGCCTTGTGCTGCAGAAGCAAGGAAAAAATCATCTGAAACCCTAAAATCCCAAGGGGGAAATGGCATCACAAGGAAATAGAAAAGGCTTTTTGTGTGGAGTTCTTCACAAACTATTTTATTAATAGCACAATATGTGCAATCAGCTGCTGTAATCTATATAAAGACAAATCTACACATGGATTGGCCAATTCAGTTTCTAAACTACAAGCTTTCTGTGGCTGCAGTGATAATCAAATGGAGATTCCTGGAGCATATCCAGTCCACAAGCTAATATCATCCGGCCCATGAATTTATCATACTAGGCACAATCTGAAACAGAAATCAGTTGTAGCCAAGCTCAGATAATTAATCACAGCAGTGTCTTAGCCAATCAGGTGAGTACCTAAGAGTGATGTGTCTGTTTAGTTAAGCAGGATGCAAGAAGCACTATGAAGCCAGAGATTCTAAGTTCAACCACTTGTTTTTTTTTTTTTTAATTTTTAAATTTTTTTGTTATTTTTGTCAGTCCAATCTAAAACTAGATACCGCATAGTGGTAACATAATGACCACCGCACGCACAAATGCACCAGAACTCAGAAGTCTTTATTCCTAATAAATGTCATGCTACTG